CTAGCGATATTCAAATAGATAGTGAATGAATACTTCTCTGGAGCATTATAAATGGGATCTAGGGTTTGATTTGAAAAAAAAATGACCTGTGAGGTCTAACTCTGAGTCACCATGATATTTCAAATACCTTATCTCCTGACTCCATGGCCAGGGCTTCTCCTACTGTTCCATACTATGCTTGCCTGCTTGACAAAAGGAAAAGAGTGTCAGGTGCACTAAACTTTAATGTAACATTTCTTCGTAAAGGGAGCTGATAGCCATACAAATGATTTTCTAGAATTATATACCAATTATTTCAACTTATGTACTTAAGACTATTCCCTGAGTCTGGACAAACAACATACTTTAGTACCATCATACATTGCAGGTGAGCCACAGAATCAAATGTCTTTAGCACATTTAAGGGAACTTAACGAGGCTTACTTTTGAAACTTTTTGTTGTTGTTTCCATGTAGGTGACTGGTCAAAAATATGCTGACAAAATGGATTTGCTGAGTCAGGTTAAGAAAAACCACTAACACTGGCATTTAAATGAATACAAAGTGGTTCTCTTACAACTGCTAGATATTGGAAATAATTACATATGATGAAATCCTACCCTCCCAACAAAACTACAAGTCCTTTGAGGAAAGGATGTTTTCCTTTTCTTTCATATTATATTACTCCTCAGCTCTCTCCCACACTCCTTCACCTGGCTTATTTGTCTCTTGGGTAGGACACTCCTGTAAGTAATTTCAAACATCCTGCCCAGTTTCTGTTTGTCAGAAGGTGGAGATTCATGTAGCCTAAAGTAGTACAGTGAGATTGGCATTAAACTTCTAGAAAATACATCTTCAATATACAAATTATTGTGATCATTGAAGGACTGAATTCCTCAAGAAGCAAGTGACTTGGCAAGACTGAAAGACTGGTGGCAAACTTCATCACTTTGCTGAGTCAAAACAACTTCTTCTTCTTCCACCTCTTACTGACACAGGGATACCTGGTTTCTTGAAGCCTATGCCAGTAGAATGACAGTTGCGGAAAGTTTTACTGAACTAGAAAGACTTTGATTATGATTCTAGTAGTAGACTATCTCTACTATCAAGGACAAGCCTAATTACATACAAAAAGGGTAAGCAAGGTAAAGACATTGAATTTGAATATCATAATTTCTTTAAAAGAACTTAACTTATACAAAAAAAAACTTGCTACAATAAAAAGGTTAAAAAATCCAATACATCACATTATCCAGAAAACACCTGATCACTTTGCCAAGCAAAGACTGATTTTAAAAATATTTCAAAGAGATGAAAAATCCAACTATTTTATAAGTACTCGTTAGGTATCAAAACTACTAATCCACTTTCTCTTCCCCATAAAATCTCATTGGGAATATTCTATGCACCCATTCTGTATGTATGTGTATAAATCCTCTTCATCATTATCATTGTCTTCTCTTTTCAAAAAGAAAGAGGTGGGCTTTCACCTTGCCCAAAATAGCCCCTCTACTCATATCCTTCCTTTTCTTTACTCTTGGAATTTGATCATTATGTTTTTCTTTTATTATCCATCTCTCTGTATCCACATCTCCACTTCCCACTGCCTACAAACAGAATCAGCTCTTCTCTATACTTAAAAAAACTTTACTTGACTATGCCAGTCCCTCAAGCTATTGCCTATACCTATTCTTTTTCCCCTATAAAGGCTAGGTGCTTGTAAAACTATGTCAACATGTGTTACCTCCATTCCTTCATCTCCTACTCACTTCACACTTTCAATCTGACTCCCATCCACTCAACTACAACTTCTCTCTCCAATATTACTAACAGTTTCCTATCTGATGAATACAATGGCCTTTTCTCAGTAATCATTCTTCTTGACCTCTCACAGTTTTTTTTAACATTATCAACAATACCCATCTTCTGGACAAGCTCTTCTCCCTTGATGTCCATAATACTTTCATGTTTCAGTTTTCTTCCTACCAGATTGATTATTCCTTTTAAATCTTCTTTGCTATGTCATTCTTCTCACATTCTCCTGTCAGCATTCCCCAAGGCTCTTCCCTGGGCCCTTTTCTCTTCTCTGTGTATATTCTCCGCATTTTTGAACTGATCAGCTCTCATAAGTTCAGTGATCATCCCTATGATAGACTCCAAAATGTATCTATCTAGTGCTAACCTGTCTCTCTTGAACCTCATTTCTTTGTTACCTATTGCTTGTTGAACCTCTTTACCTAGATTCTATCTAGGCATCTTAAGCTCTACATATTCAAAATGGAATTCATTCTATTTCCTACAAAAAGCTATTCTTCCTCCAATTTTCTTTTTTTTTTTCTCTGTCATTTTTCAAGTCATTCAGGTTCATGACCTTGGAGTCATCCTTTACTCTTCCTTCTCCCTTCTTTCTAATCAACTGTTAAATCTTGTCAATTGTACCCTCACAACATCTCTTATGCTGATATCCTTCCCTCTACTAATATACCTCTACTATAGCTCAGGTCCTCACCTGGATTATTGCAATAGCCTCCTAATTGGAGACTTTACACAAGTGATTCCACAGACCTTGAATGTTCTCTCTATCTTCTGTTTTGTAGACTCCTTAGCTTCCTTAAAAGCACAATTCGTCTATTACTTCCTACATGGAGTGTCTGAGTATCCCAGTTAGTAGTATTTTATCCCTCTTGAAACCATTTCTCATTCCCTTGTTTATGCTTTGTATTCACTTTCAAGTTGTATTTCCCTATCAGAAATGTAAGGTCCTTGAGGGCAAGAACTTTGTAAAAACATTTTTTTTTGTTATCATCAGTGCTCAGCTTAGTATCTAATACATAGAAGTGATTAATGAAAGCTGTCAAATTGAATTGAATGCAAAGGTATTTGAAGAATACATGAGAAAATACAGATGGCCTTTCAGAGACAATTTTGTAGAATACACCAGATCCCAGTGTTTATTCTCATGGACTACAAAAAAGCATCTTCCTTGTTAGAGCAATGCATGGTCTTGGGGGATGTCCTTAAACAAGGTGTTGCCTATGCATATGCTAATATCATGTAGGATTCTCTGTTCTATGATAATAATAATCATAATAATAATAATAGACATTTACTAAGATTTACCAAGTGCTTTACATACATCATTTCATTTGATGCAACCACAGAGATAATTTATTCAAAGATCCTCTGAATAACAATATCAAAAGAGCTATAAAACAGGGCAAAGTATTCGACAACAGCTTTTGTTGGCATAGAAGATGGTCTGAACAAAGTTAAAATAGAGAAAGGATTCTCTGTATATGGTGAGCTTCTCAAAATATTTTCATTTTGGAATGACATTGTGACTTGTGAAAAGCATGGGCACTCAAAAGATGTTGACCTAATTATGTACACAGGAAAAAAAATGGATAAAGAATCAATGAACAAAAACACATTTATTAAGTGCTTATTAAATGCCAGTCACCATACTAAGCACTGGAAACGCAAAGAGAAAAAAAATGAGATGGCTTTTGTTCTCTAGAAGTTCAATAATAAAGGAGGCAATAGCAAAAGAAAGTTCGGTTTCCTATTTCCCAGATTATGAGAGGCAATTGGATATATAGCAGAATGAATTAGACCAGGGGTGGGTAACCTGTGGCCTTGAGGCCACATGTGGGCTTCTAGATCCTCAAGTATGGCCTTTTGACTGAGTCCAAGTTTTACAGAACAAATCTTCTTTAGTGAGATGCTATTGGCTAAGAATGATGGAATCACATGATCTCAAAAGAATCAAATTTACAGGTGCCCAAAAAAGTAACAGAAAAAAATGCATGGAGGATGTAAGAAATCTTTGATCATATTTCCCACAATGACTTATATGCAAGAATGAAAAGCAGCTGTGGTGTGGTGAATAGAGTCAGCTCTAGAGTCAAGAAGCCCTGGGTTCAAGTCCCACTTCTGACAAAAAATAATAGCAAAGATATAGGCATACATTATCCTATCATTCTCCTTTTATCATACTATACTGCCATACTGCCATGGTAAATTGAGGTCTCAAAGGCAGTACAGAGTAATGGAAAGAGAATGAATTTGGAGTAACTACCATATGACCTTGGACAAGTCACCTAAATTATCTGGCCTTCCATTTTATCATATGTATATAATGAGGGTATCAGGCCATTTAAAAGAGCCAACAGTTCCAGTGACACAACCAGTAGAATAACGCAAATGTTCCCAGTCACAGGGTAGGTTGAAGTAGAATGTTTTGTCAATATAAATAACATGATAGAAATAATAAGAATCACCAACATTTATATAGCACTTTAAAGGATTTGAAAATGTAAGTAAAAATACTTTATCGCATTTAAGCTTCTCAACAAACCTGTGGGGTTGGGTGTTATTTTTAGCCCCATTTCAAAGATGGAGAAAAGGAACCTAACAGAGATTAAATTTCTTGGCCAAGGTCACATAGCTATTAAATGTCAGGGCAGCATTTGATGAAAGGTCTTCTTCACTTTAACTATAGATCTTCATTTCTATAGCTCCTAATTTTCTTTTTTTTTCAGATATTATTTGTTTGTTTGTTTTCTTAGTACAGACACTCATACTTTGGGTGGTTCCTGTAAACCTGAAGAATTAAATACAATATAACATTGTACTGAGGCATATCAGTAATAATAATGACAATAATAATAATAATAATAATAACAGCTAACATTCACATAGTTCTTCAAGGTTCACAAAGTATATTACACATTTTTTTATTTGATTCTCACAACAACCCTGTGAGATAGAGGCATAAGACATTCAGAGTTTTCCTAAATAAATGCCCAGTACCCTATTCATTATGCCCTCTAAATGCCTCAATCAATCAATTAATCTATATCAATCAATAAATCCAAAAGTATTTAAGATTTTTCTCTGTGTCAAGCAACATGCTAAAACTGGGGGCATATCTAGGAGGTATAAATCTTTGTGGATTGGTTGGTACCTCAATCTCTAAGAAAATAAAATATTGGAACTGTTATATTTAAATGTTTTAGTTACCTTTGCAGCTTCTTCCATCTTCTGCTATTTCATATCCATCCTCACAGAAGCATCCTGTACCATTCCTTATAATCGCGCATTTATATTGACAATTCATCTGCTGGCAATTTGGTAATAGTTCTGGAGAGAAGACACATAGATGTATATGCATTATATTTATTTTTTAAAAAATCATTTTGTTTCCTTGAATGTTTGTGAGGCATTTTTCTTTTTTGTGGTAGTAGAAACTACCTCTATTTTCACTGTATTATATTTCCAAGTCAATTTTTTCCTGGAAAAAAAACAACCCTGCATTTCTATGTAACAAATGCATCAGTGTGATTTTGTTTCAAGCGATATTATTAAGTTTCATGATTGATCTATTTGGCCTCACTTCTTTGAACTTCACATATACTCAGTCAAAGTCATTTCTTATAAAATTTGGTAAATTTAAATTATTTCAAACCAAGTTAAAAAAAAACCATGTATTTTATGAGGTTGATTTCACCATTTCTGCCTTTCCTATCTGACACATCAATTGACTTTCTATCTTTCAACATCTTGTTTTGATTTACTAAGCCATGTGTAAACTTCACAGCAATCAATGTGCACATATTCCATTTTAATAATTTATCTTCTTTTGGTAGGGCAATGGTGGGCAAACACTGGACATAATATATTTCTTTCTATCTAATGATGGCATTTTATCTAAATCATGGCAAAGATGTTGCTGAAGCAATAGCTCACAAATTCCAGGAGTAAATTACATTTCATGGAGGTAAAGACAGTCACAGGTTAAAACAGTGGCAAGATCAGGTTTCTCACAAAAATCTGTTGTTACAAAAATCTGATGTGCTAAACTAGATTAACTTTTGGTTTCAAAGTCCTACCCTGTAGTGGGGAATTTAGGGCATTAATGAGTTGTGACAAAGTGGCTGCTTCTCTCCTAGAGAAAAAGAAAGAAATGGGTTGGACAGATATTGTATAAATGATTCAATCCATTCATAATCTGTAGATATTAGCAGCAAAGCTAGGTATTGTTTCAGGAAAATTGTAACAGAATCTCTGAACAACCAGGACAAAGAAAAGTTCACTCTGGAGACTGGCTTAAAGTAATTGGGCTTGTATCCAGAAGGGGGAAAAAAATCATCAGCTAACATTTTCATTTGTCTATTGTCACTTTTATTTTAAGTTAACCATAATCCATTTAACGATTGTTGGGTCATGAAAAAAAATCTAACACTTCCAGAATTCTAAATCAGAAGATCCATTCAGAAGATGTCCAAGTGAACTAAGGTGTCAGACTTAGTCACATCAATTTAATTTAACACATTCATTGAGAGTTTTCTATGTGCAAGACATAGTGCTATAACCTGGGGACATAGAGTCAAAGAAAATTAAATACCCCTTGCCGTCAAGGAGATTACACTTTCATCCCTATAGCAAGGCATATAGGGAGTGGTTTTGAATTCTTTCACTATTACATTGTAGCAGTGCAGTGTCAGGGGAAAGATTGCACTAGGAGGGTAAAGAACTCAGCTATAGCCCTTTCTCTACTCCAGTGGTTCTCATGTTTATATGGCTTATTTCTATTGACATTTATTGTATTAAAATTAAATATATACATATATTTAAAAACATTTATTAAAATAGCAATGATAAATTCATTACAGGATAATATAAACAACATAGTTTTATAAAAAAAACTTTTTTCCAAATATAAAATAATTTAGAGAAAAGAGAAAAAGTTCTACATATTTTGCAAATCTCTTTAATGTCTGGCTTAACAGGAGATAGCTGGATTCTCATATCTGTTTCTGGATTCAATCTGTTGCAATCTGTTGTTTTGGTTGAAATATAGGAAGAAAATCTGATCTCACATAGTATGTAATTTGGAAAAAGGGAGTAAGTATTTTAAGAGGCAAAAAATGTCTTTGTATTATTATGAAAATAGTTTTTGACTTCACAGACCTTCTGAAAAGGCCTGCAGACTAAGCTTTGAGAATCATCATTCTACTCCTTACTAGTTCTGACAACATTGTTGTCGACCTCACTTACTGAAAAAACGGAAAAAGTCATATCATACATCACTGGTTCTAGGGGTATGACCAGCAAAAACAGTAGAAAAAATATGTGATTCAGAGGCAGAAGACCAGGTTTGGAATCCCATATGTGATTTTTCTGGCTGCATGTATTTGGGTAAGTCACTTAACCTCTCTTAGCCTCAGTTTCTTTATTTATAAAATTACTAGTTTGGACTAGATGACCTCTAAGGTCCCATCTGGCATTAGAAGTATGATCCTATGTTTTGAGGTCCCTTCTGGATGTTTATAAAAAAAAACAACTATAAACAAATTATAACTGCTATATGTGTTTAAACCTTTAGAAACAAGTTTAATACTTAGCTAAGGCTTATATTATAATAATGGGCTAAGATTACCTTGATTTGAACAGTAAAGATAATTCAATAATAAAAATAGAGCATATGATATTCTATGGGAATAATGGTTCCATGTGCACCCCAGCATTCAATAAAAGTTTTTTTTTTAATGGACCAATGAATCAAAGAATTAAATGAATTGTCCATATTAAAAAAAAATAGCAATTGTCAGACTAGGGATTCAAGTTCAGGTTTTCCAACTTCTAAACCCAGCCCTCATCACCATATTTCTAAACTTGGAAGTTTATAGGCTAAGATGGCATAATGGATAGAGCACTAGATTGAGGCAGGGAAATATGATTTTAAATCCTTCCTCAGATGTTCAGTAACTGTCTGAGTTTGGGCCATTCATTTAGCCTCTGTTTGCCTCAGTTTTCTTATTTGTAAAATGGAGATAATAATAGCATCTGCTTCCCAGGGTTGCTGTGAGGGTAAAATAAGATATTATTTATAAGCACTTTTTAAACTTTAAGTAGCTCTATGAATATTGTTATTGTTATTGTTATTATTATCCTTACGCAACTTAAAGATCAAGCAGCATCCTTTCCTTCTTCTTCCTCTCATTTTCTTCCTCCTTTTACCTACCCACAAGAAAGGAACATCACTTTATTCTTTAAGCACTGCTTAAAGTTCTCCATTAGCCATATTATCCAGAACTAAGGGGAAGGGAAACAACTTTACATGTTGTTCATGGATTCCTGTTTATCCCTACATGAAAGTAAAATGGCAAGGGAAAGCAAAAGGTTCAAGGAAAGTGATCAGTATGGAAGAAGATTGGCAGAATGGGGGGGAGGGATAAGTACAGAGCAGGGAAGCTCATTTCCTGGGTGCTTGAAGAGAAAGGAAAAAACAACAAAAAACAACAACAATAAAACCAAACTCAGTCATTGAGAAGTTGGATCCAAAACTTTTTATTTTGCTTTTATTTATTTATGTATTTATGTATTTATTTATTTATTCATTCATTCATCCATTATATTTATTTATTTATTTATTTATTTTGCTTTTAGGCATTTGGGGTTAAGTGACTTGCCCAGGGTCACAGAGGTAGTAAGAGTCAAGTGTTTGGTCTGAGGCCGAATTTGAACTCAGGTCCTCCTGACTTCAGGGCCGGTGCTCTATCCACTGTGCCATCTAGCTGCCCCAGATCCAAAACTTTTTATGTTTAATGTAGATGTCATTGTATAGGGTGAGTGATCCTGAGAGTTGATGGGGAATTATGAATGATGATAAACCAATATATTTTGTTAAGGAAAACTGTAAACTTTGGCATTAATCATATATTGAAAAAACTCACCCCCAGTGAGTTTAGCTATTTTAAAGTAATATTAATTACTATATAACCATTTCTGAGAGCTGGCTCTTATATTTACCTAATTACAAAGTGTTATAGTCATTATGCAAATAATTATAAGTTTCAGATTAATTTTGTTGTCAGCTCTATTTTATCACAACAGTAAATTCTACATATTTTCTCATTCCTCTTGGATGTTGTTTATAATTATCAGCATCGGGACCACAATGGATGACAGCAGACTCCTGGGTAGGGGTAGTACACTCTAGAATCTGAGACCTGAAGCTTTCTATTAATTCTATCAGTGTTTTTTTTTTCTTTTTAATTTTCTTTAGGACCACAGATGGGCAAAGGAAGCTGCTTTCTATATGCTGGTGTCTCAGTCTGCATCCTGGTCACCCACATCTAATTATTGCTCTGGCTGATACTCTTCAGTGCCAGACAGTACAATATTGCCTATTTACGAGGCATTCAGCATGATATAGTAGAAAGAGACTTGGATTCAGAATTAAGAAGGCCTGACTTTTAACCCTACCTCAGACACTTACTAGAAAGAGAGAAGCAGGGAGAGAGAGAGAGAGAGAGAGAGAGAGAGAGAGAGAGAGAGAGAGAGAGAGAGAGAGAGAGAGAGAGAGAGAGAGAGAGAGAGAGAGAGAGAGAGAGAGAGAGAGAGAGAGAGAGAGAGAGAGAGAGAGAGAGAGAGAGAATAAAAGGGAGTGTAGAGAGGAATGGCAACAAAAATTCAAAACAGCAAAGGGCGAAATTCCTAAATTTTGTTCTTGACCTATGGCTTATTCACTGCTACAATAACTTTCAAAGGATTATATAAAATCTCTTGATTTTTTAAAAATATAAACTATAAAAAGCACACTGCTTAAATAAATGGGTCTCTAACTGGAGGTTGAAACATGCTTGTTTTATACTAGGCACTTACATTCTTCATGGTTGTATTTTGTTGTATAAAAACACTTGATTTGTATAAGATGATTACAATCTTGACAACTTCTGTGATTGGTTTATAAAAGTTATATTCTACTGTGAAACATCTATTCGACACCATGGATTGATTATGTGTTGATCACTTTCCTGTTTTATTTGTTTGTGTGTGTGCGTGTGTATCTATATATCTATATCTATATATATTCTATAACTGCACTGACACTATTTTTTTCCTCTTAATAGTAGAAAATGTATGTTGGAATGAGCAGTGGTCTAGGCATTGGAAAACTTGAATCCTAATCCCAAATCTGTCACTAACTAATTGTTTGACTTTGGATGAATTACTTCACTCCTCTAGGCCTCAGTTTCTACTTCCGTGAAATGATAATGCTGGGCTAGATATTTAATAATTTCTAAGGATGCTGTCCTGTCATATCATCTTTCACTCCCCCATATTATAAGCATTTT